ATTGAGATGTCGTCGCCTTCTATGGATGACGGGGAAGACTGAAGGAAGGAGAGAGAAGAGTAAATAAGGGAAATGCCATAAGTCTTGAAAACAAACAGCAATCAAACAAACACAAAATGGACAAATGATCTGGAATAATGAAGGGAAGCACTCTAAACAAGGTGTGAAAAGAGTGGGAGAAAATGGAGCAATATCTCAAGGCATATGTCTTACAACAGGAAGACAATTTCTACCAATAGATAAAATATTAATGGGGAATTCATGGGAATAGTGAGCAACTCTATAAAAAGAAGGACTCAAAAAGCTTTAAAAGTATAAACGTTAGAGGAATAAGTAAGTAATAGTTATCTCTGTAAACACAAATAAACATTAAGTATTTAATGTGTTACTGAAGGCTTTCATGACTGGAATCCCCTATGAGCCATCTAGGTCTTTAAGATCTTCCGGGGGGGGGGGGGCTGCTCTCGGTCCCACCACCGTCACAATCGTGGTTGGTGGGGACGAGAGACAGGGCCTTCTCGATGGTGGCTCCTCGGCTGTGGAACTCCCTCCTACTGGAGATTAGAACTGCTCCCTCCCTCCTGACTTTTAGGAAATTAACAAAGACTTGGCTATGGAACGCGGCCTTTGATAACTGAGTTAATAATTCTGGTCCACATGGAAGGAGAATGATGAACTGTGAATTATGACCATGAATGTTTTGACGACTTGGCTTGTATAATTGTGATGATGATGATGTTTTTGTACTATGTTTTTAACGTGTAATTATGATGCATTGTGTGGTTTGTAATTTTTTGTATACGAACACATGTTGTGAACCGGATCTGAGTCCCTCTTGGAGGTGAGAAGATCGGTATAGAAAACTTCGAAATAAATAAATAAATAAATCACTGAATTGCTGTGAGTTTTCTGGGCTGTATGGCCATGTTGCAGAAGCATTCTCTCCTGACGTTTCACCTGCATCTATGGCAGGCATCCTCAGAGTTTATGAGCTCTGAGGATGCCTGCCACAGATTAAGGCAAAACATCAGGAGAGAATGCTTCTAGAAAATGGCCATAAACCCTAGAAAACTCACAACAACCCAATCATTCTGGCCATGAAAGCCTTTGACAATACAATTTATTATTATTATTATTATTATTATTATTATTATTATTATTATTATTATTATTATTATTATTATTGCTATACTACTAGTCATAGTATTTCCATCCTGCTTCTTCTCTCCCAAAGGAGAGTCCAAGCAGCTAACATTTAAAAAAATCAGATAATGTGTAAATTAAAATCGAAAGCCTACAAACATTAAAATCGACTATGACAGGCATCCTCACAGGTTATGAGGTCTGCTCAAAACTAGGCAAGTGAGGTTTATATATTTCTGTGAAATGTTCAAGGTGGGAGAAAGGATTCCGCTTGAGGCAAGTGTGAATGTGGCAAATGGCCACCTTGATTAGCATGTAATGGCCTTGCAGCTTCAAAGCCTTGCTGCCTGGGGGAATCCTTTGTTGGGAGGTGTTAGTTGGCCCTGTATTTCAGTGGCTTCTCTGCTATGGCTGATTTCTCAGGTTGAATTAGCCTGCAGCACCTAATGAACCAAACTGAACACATCATATTATTTGAGAACAACTACCATATGCCCAGAGTGTGGTGGAGGCTCCTTCTTTGGAGGCTTTTAAACAGAGGCTGGATGGCCATCTGTCGGGTATGCTTTTAATATGATTTTCCTGCTTCTTGGCAGGGGGTTGGACTGGATGGTCCACAAAGTCTCTTCCAACTCTATGATTCTATCCTTCCTCAGACGTTCTGGGCCTAAGAGACAAATTGCACTGTTAGTCTCTTTGGCCGTCCAATTTACCATGCCTCATTCTGAGAAAAAAAAGAGAAGCCATTGAAATACACAAGCATGTGAACAATTTCAACAGAAAGGAGGAAACAATGAAAATGAACAAAATCTGGCTACCAGTATTAAAAAAACTAAAAACTCAGGACAGTAAATAAAGAACAACACTCAAAAAGCAGGAGAATTCCAAAAAAGAATCAATCAGGACCAACTAATCACCTCCCCACAAAGTATTCCCCCAGGCAGCAACCAGCCAGGCTTTGAAACTGAAATGCCATTCAATGCTAATCAAGGTAGCCATTTGCAACATTCACACTTGTCTCAAGCAGACAAGAGTTCTTTCTCCCACCCTGGACATTCCACAGATATATAAACCTCACTTGCCTAGCTTCCAACAGACCTCACAACTGAGGATGCCTGCCATAGATGTGGGTGAAATATCAGGAGAGAATGCTTCTGGAACATGGCCATACAGAACAGACAACTCACAACAACCCATTAAATATTTAAGTTTTCTTTTCACCAAATGGAACACACAAGTCAATTAACCTCAAAGGGAAGGAATGAAGTCTAGACGAGACGCCAAAGTGGTGTCTTTAATATTTAATTGGATTATGTTGTCCTTGTTTGGTTTTAGGGTGTCCTCTTTCTTTGTCCTTTTCGATGATATATTTTTTTGTTTGATTAAAAAAAAATTTTAAAAATTAAAAAATTAAACTTGATTAAAAAAAATTAAAAAGAAAGAAAACAAAGGTTGGGTTGTAGGTTTTTTCGGGCTATATTACCATGTTCTAAAGGCATTTTCTCCTGACGTTTCGCCTGCATCTATGGCAAGCATCCTCAGAGGTAGTGAGGTCTGTTGGAACTAGGAAAAAGGGTTTATATATCTGTGGAATGACCAGAATGGGACAAAGGACTCTTGTCTGCTGGAGCTAGGTGTGAATGTTTCAACTGACCACCTTGATTAGCATATAATGGCCTGACATTGCCTGGAGCAATCTTTTGTTGAGAGGTGATTAGATGTCCTTGTTTGTTTCCTCTCTGTTGTTGTGCTGTTGTAATTTTAGAGTTTTTTAATACTGGTATCCAGATTTTGTTCATTTCCATGGTTTCCTCTTTTCTCCTGACGTTTTCTGAAGTGTTTGTGTCCTCACAACCTCTAGCTGCCTGCCATAGATGCAGGCGAAATGTCAGGAGAGAATGCTTCTGGAACATGGCCATACAGCCCGGAAAACTCACAACAACCCAGTGATTCCGGCCATGAAAGCCTTCGACAATACAAAGAAAACAAAATTGCAAAGGCTGCAACACCCCACCTGTCCACTAGGTGGTGCTATGAGCAAACATAATTTCCATTATTATCTGCAACATCAGTCTCTTTCAGGAAACTCCTTTGCTGATTAAAGGCAGCCATGAACTCAGATGACAATCTGCTATTATTTTGTGCATTTCTTTAAAATTTAAGACAAATATTTGGGGTTCAACGTGAGAAGACGGCGGATGCAGGCTGGAGGTCACCAATATTGTTTGCTAACCAATGTATTTGAAGGACTATGTATTGTCGAAGGCTTTCATGGCTGAAATCACTGGGTTGTTGTAGGTTTTTCGGGCTATATGGCCATGTTCTAGAAGCATTCTCTCCTGACATTTCATCTGCATTTATGGCAAGCATCCTCAGAGGTTGTGAGGACTGTCGGTGAAACTGATTTCACGGCATCGTCGCCTCCAAAACATGGTGCACACAGATCAGGAGAGCAGTGCAATCTGTTCCAGGTTTGGCTTGTTGTGCGTTTTCTGGGCTGTGTGGTCATGTTCCAGAAGCATTCTCTCCTGATGTTTCGCCTGCACCTATGGCAGACATCCTCAGAGGTTGTAAAGTCTGTTGGAAACTAGGAAAATGGGGTTTATATATCCCAGGGTGGGAGAAAGAACTCTTGTCTGTTTGAGATAGGTGTGAATGTTGCAACTGGCCACCTTGATTAGCATAGAATGGCCTTTCAGCTTCAAAGCCTGGCTGGTTGCTGCCTCAGGGAATCCTTTGTTTGGAGGTTTTGCTGACCCTGATTGATTATTGTCTAGAATTCCTCTGCCTTTTGAGTGTTTCTCTTTATTTACTATCCTGATTTTAGAGGTTTTTTTAAAATACTGGTAGCCAGACCTCACAACCTCTGAGGATGCCTGTCATAGATGCAGGTGAAACATCAGGAGACAATGATGAATGAAAGGACCGGGCTGTGGCGCAGCTAGTTAGTAGCCAGCTGCATTAAATCACTACTGACCAAGAGGTCATGAGTTCAAAGCCAACCTGGGTTGGAGTAAGCTCCCGACCATTAATAGTCTAGCTTGCTGTCAACCTATGCAGCCCAAAAGACAGTTACTGGAACGTACTTACTTAGTCCTAATCTTTTTTTATACTGGTTTTAAACCACTTCATTGGATGTGTTGCAATAACAAGTTCCCAGATTAGTTTAGTGTTTACATCTTATTTTATTTTTCTGGTTATTTAATATTTTATGTTTATTTTACTTAAAGGTAAGTGATATTTGTCTTTACTTTTTTTTTTTTGTCCTGTCAGGAGTGACTCCTGGTGTGAGAGAATTGGCCGTCTGCAAGGACGTTGCCCAGGGGACGCCTGGATGATTTGATGTTTTTATCATCCTTGTGGGAGGCTTCTCTCATGTCCACGCATGAGGAGCTGGGGCTGATAGAGGGAGCTCATCCGCCTCTCCCCGGATTCGAACCTGCGACCTGTCGGTCTTCAGTCCTGCCGGCACAGGGGTTTACTTAAAGGTAAGTGATATTTGTGTTTATTTCAATATTAATGTAGCACAAATCCTATGTAAAATCATACTACGCATTTTTGACATTAATATTGAAATCTGAAATATATACAGAAAGTAGGAAATTTAGGTACCGCTTTATGCTGGGAGGCAAATTTAACTAATTTACGACGTCATACAGCCTTCCAGCAGCGTGCGTAAGAATGAGGAAGTACTCCATCAAGAACTTGGTGTTACAAGTGGACGGTGAAGAGACAGCTCCCCCCTGTGGCCAGAATCGAGCATACTCTCATGAAGCTGGAAAGCTGTAATGTTAAATTGCCTCTGTGTCTGTCTATATATATGTTGTATGTCTAATGGCATTGAATGTTTGCCACCAGAACTTTGAGATCTTCCGGGGAGGCCCTGCTCTCGATCCCGCCGGCTTCTCAAGCACGGCTGGCGGGGACGAGAGATAGGGCCTTCTCGGTGGTGGCCCCTCGGCTGTGGAACGCCCTTCCTGCGGACATTAGGCAGGCACCATCTCTCATGGCATTCCGAAAAAAGTTGAAGACCTGGATGTTTGTGCAGGCGTTCGAGTAATCTAGTGCAATATTGGTAATTGAACATAGGAATGGAACAATGGACGACGAACCTGGACTACGCTTGGATGATGAGACGATTGGGCTGGTTATTGTAATAATTGTTAGTGTAATTGCTTGTTGTTTATTAATTGGATAATGTGTTAAGTGGTCAATTGTTATATGTGCATTGAATTATTGCTGTTTTTACTGTGTGTAAACTGCTGTGAGTCGCCTTCGGGCTGAGAACAGCGGTATATAAGCAAAGTAAATAATTAAATAAAGTAAATAAATTATGTGCATTGTAATCCGTCCTGAGTTCCCTATGGGGTGAGAAGGGCGGAATATAAATACTGTAAATAAATGCTTCTGGAACATGGCCATACAGCCCAGAAAACACACAACAACCCATTGATTCTGGCCATGAAAGCCTTCGACAATACATTGTTCCAAGTTGGACTCCCAAATGGAAAGCAGCCACTCAAAATGCAGAACTCGTTGCCAGAAAAGGCTCAAAGGGGCTTGAATGGACTCACAACCCCATCGACAAGGAAGGAAGCCACTGCTCCAATACGTTTCCCGTGAGCAGAAATGAGCCCAGAGGCATCCCAGGCCTGGAGCAAATATGCATCCAAATGCGATGCAGGAGCATTGAAGGCAATAGGCATTTCTGACCCACGATCCAATGGGGAGAGAAGGGAAAGGAGGCCGCAGGGAAGTAAAGGGGCAAAGTGCAGTTGGCTCCAGCCAAGGTAAATAAGGACAAGAGCAAACGCATAAACGCCCATGCGCAGAAGTACAAGAAGGCTCTCCGTTAGCAGAACTATTTCTGCAAGCACAGCAAGGATTTCCCCCAATGGATCCAATCCTTGCTTCCTGTCTCTTGCACCTACATGGACATTCATAAGCTCCTTCCTGGAGGTTTTTAAAAGCTGAGACTGGGTGGCCATCTTTCAGGAGGGCTTTGATTGTGTCTTCCAAAAAAAAAAAGAATAGGGCTGGACTGGATGGTCCTTGGCGGTCCCTTTCAAAACTAGTGCCTGGGACCATATTGAGGTCTCCCTCGATGAAGGGTTTGAAGCAGAGACGAGATGGCCATCTATTGTTGAAGGCTTTCATGGCTGAAATCACTGGGTTGCTGTGAGTTTTCCAATCTGTATGGCCATGATCCAGAAGCATTCTCTCCTGATATTTCACACACATCTATGGCAGGCATCCTCAGAGGTTGTGACGTCTGTTGGAAACTAGGCAAGTGGGGTTTATATATCTGTGGAGTGTCCAGGGTGGAGAAAGAACTATTGTCTGCTTGAGGCAGGTGTTAATGTTGCACCTTGATTAGCATTGAATGGCCTTGCAGTTTCAAGGTGTGGGTGCTTACTGTCCGAGGGAATCCTTCGTTGGGAGGTGTTAGCTGGCCCTGATTGTTTCTTGTCTGGAATTCCCCTGCTTTTTGAGTGTTGCTCTTAATTTACTGTTATACTTCTGGGGTTTTTTCAAATACTGATAGCCAGATTTTGTTCATTTTCATGGTTTCCTCCTTTTTTATTGAAATTGTCCACCTGCTTGGGGATTTCAATGGCTTCTCTGTGTAGTCTGACATGGTAGTTGGTTCAGCATTTCAAAGTTCTCAAACAACACAGCATTTCTGTGTTCTCAAATGGCCATCTGTCAGGAGGGCTTTGGTTGTGTCTTCCTGCAAGGAAAAATGGGGCTTGACTGAATGGTGCTTGGGGGATCCCTTTCAAATCTAGACTGCATGGGAGTCCAATGATGTCTCTTTCTCTGGAGCTTTTAAAGCAGAGGCTAAATGGCCATGTGTCAGGATGGCTTTTATTGTGTCTTCTTGCAAGGAAAAATGGGGCTGGGGTGGATGGTGCTCAGGGGATCCCTTTCAAATCTAGTAAAATACAGGCTCCATGGGAGTCCAATGATGTCTCTTTCTCTGGAGGTTTTAAAGCTGAGGCAGGATGGCCTCTGTCGGGAGGGCTTTGATTGTGTCTTCTTGCAACGAAAAATGGGGCTGGGGTGGATGGTGTTCAGGGGATCCCTTTCAAATCTAGTGAAATATAGACTGCATGGGAGTCCAATGATGTCTCTTCCTCTGGAGGTTTATAAGCAGATGCTGGGTGGCCATCTGTTGAGACGGCTTTGATTGTGTCTTCCTGCAAAGAAGAGCTAGATGGTGGTTGGGGGATCCCTGTCAAATCTAGTGAAATATAGATTGCATGGGGGTCTAAATGTGTCTTTTTATCTGGAGTTTTTTAAGCAGAGGCTGGATGGCCATCTGTCAGGAGGGCTTTGATTGTGTCTTCTTGAGGCTGGACTGGATGGTGCCTGGGGATCCCTTTCAAATGTAAAGAAATATAGACTGCGTAGGAGTCCAATTATGTCTCTTTCTCTGGAGGTTTTTATGCATGGGCTGGATGTCCATCTGTCGGGAGGGCATTGATTGTGCCTTTCTGCCTGACAGAAGGCAGTTGGACTGGATGACCCTTGGGGATCCTTTCCAACTCTAACCACACAAGACCAGCTTACATTTGTGACCCTAATGCAGCAGGAAAAGAAAATTCAGAATTTTTGATTTGGTTTTAAAGCACAGAGGAAATCTAAGCACAGGCTCTGATGGCAAAGCAAACAAAACAACCCACTGGATAGAACTGGGGGAGGAGGGAAGTGGGACAGCAAAGAGTTAGCATTTAAAAAGTGGGGGGAAAGTTATGGCATTGCAATAGCAATGCATGACAAACACCCACAAAGGGAAGTGCTTACCTGGATGCTGCTGGCATCGCTGTGGTCCCAGGCCCTCTTGGTCTGCTTGTGTTTCTCTAAAAGGCAACAGCAAAAGAAACATCGTAACCTGGGTCGGGGCGCCCCGGAGGGCCCTAACAGGGGGTCCAGCGTCTCTGAAACAGCGGAGGGGACTCTCCAAACCCACCCGCTGGCCTCTGTCTTGGGACTGACCGCATCCCCTGCACTGGCCAGAATGGTCACCCAGAATGGCCAGGAGGAAAGGGTCACCGGTTGGACTCTGGCCCCATGCCGTCCCTTCTGCGCAGCTGCAAAGGGTAACCAGAGGCGAGTGGCCTTTCTGTGCACCACGCAGAGAACTTAATAGGGAGATTATGAAAGATGCTATTCACTGAAGGAAGAATTTGCTGTATTTACTAATTTACTAATGCTCACTTTTTTCCCTGGATTGCCTTCCCAAAATTAGGATGTCTATCAGATTCGCATAATATAGTAATCTTAGTAGGTAACAATTTCCCCCTGACACTAAGTCCAGTTGTGTATGACTCTGGGGGTGGTGCTCATCTCCATTTCTAAGCCAAAGAGCCGGCGTTGTCTGTAGACACCTCCAAGGTCATGTGGCCAGCATGACTGCATGGAGTGCCGTTACCTTCCTCACATTTGCATTTTTTTCGAACTGCTAGGTTGGCAGAAGCTGGAGCTCACCCCATCCCATGGATTCAAACCGCCAACCTTCTGGTCAGCAAGTTCTGCAGCTTAGTGGTTTAATCCACTGCACCACCGCAGCCCCCTAATCTTAGTACTGAGCCAAAGCAAAAGGATAAGCTATTTCTGTGGCCACTGGAACTCTTTTTTGAGGGATATCATCTCCAATTTAATGGTAATGGCTAAATGCTATGCAATCCTAGGATTTTTATGATCCCAAACAACAGCCCCCAAGACTCCATAGCATTAAGCCAGGGCAGTTAAAGTGCATTCATTCTACAGCATAGATGCACCCAAGGTTTTCTTTTCCATCGCTAAAAGCGTTTCCTTTCAGAGAAGTAATTATAGGCAGGCAGCCACTGTAATGCACACCTCTTTGGCCAGATTACAAAGAGGGCACTTTTTGCTGCCGTGAATTACATTTGGCAGCAAATACTTTCTTTGATTTCCGGGTTTTGAAATTTGAGGTGTGCATTAGATTCGATGGCACCTGAATATGAGGAATAACTTTCTAACTGTGAGAGCTGTTCAACAGTGGAACTCTCTGCCCTGGAGTGTGGTGAAGGCTTCTTCTTTGGAGGCTTTTAGACAGACGCTGGATGGCCATCTGTCGGGGGTGCTTTGAATGCAATTTTCCTGCTTCTTGGCAAGAGGTTGGACTGGATGGCTCATGAGGTCTCTTCCAGCTCTATGAGTCTATGGTTCTATATTAAAGTAATGCAGGTCGAAACGCCAATGGCCACCATTGCCATAACCTGAAGCAACTTCCATTGTCACCACTGTCCAAGCTCTATGGCTTTAAAACAAGGAGAGATCCCTATCACCACCAGCTTCCAACTCCTATGCCCATCACTATTAAGCAGCTGGCTATTTTAATGTCAACTTTGGCGTGTTTCAGCCCTACTGTCTCAATTTTCATTAAGGGTTGTGCTAGAGTCATTATTATTATTATTATTATTATTATTATTATTACTATTATTATTATTATTATTATGTGGTGGTGATCGGCACCCTGGATGCAGTGCCTAAAGACCTTGGCCTGCACCTAAAAACAATTGGTGCTGACAAAATTACCATCTGTCAGCTGCAAAAGGCCACCCTACCGGGCTCTGCACGCATTATTAGCTGATACATCACACAGTCCAAGACACTTGGGAAGTGTCTGATGTGTGATCTAATACAACAACCAGCATAGCGATAATAACAACTCTGGCACAAGCCAGTAAAGGTGGTCCCAGTGGTGATCGCACACTGGGTGCAGTGCCTAAAGACCTTTGCCTGCACTTAAACACAATCGGCGCTGACAAAATTACCATCTGCCAGCTGCACAAGGCCACTTTACTGGAATCTGCACGCATTATTCGCCGATACATCACACAGTCCTAGACACTTGGGAAGTGTCCGACGTGTGATCAATACAACAGCCAGCAAAACAAGACTCTGGCACAAGCCAGTAAAGGTGGTCCCAGTGGTGATCGGCACACTGGGTGCAGTGCCTAAAGACCTTGGCCTGCACTTAAACACAATCGGCGCTGACAAAATTACCATCTGCCAGCTGCAAAAGGCCACCCTACCGGGCTCTGCACGCATTATTCGCTGATACATCACACAGTCCAAGACACTTGGGAAGTGTCTGATGTGTGATCTAATACAACAACCAGCATAGCGATAATAACAACTCTGGCACAAGCCAGTAAAGGTGGTCCCAGTGGTGATCGGCACACTGGGTGCAGTGCCTAAAGACCTTGGCCTGCACTTAAACACAATCGGCGCTGACAAAATTACCATCTGCCAGCTGCAAAAGGCCACCCTACCGGGCTCTGCACGCATTATTCGCTGATACATCACACAGTCCAAGACACTTGGGAAGTGTCTGATGTGTGATCTAATACAACAACCAGCATAGCGATAATAACAACTCTGGCACAAGCCAGTAAAGGTGGTCCCAGTGGTGATCGGCACACTGGGTGCAGTGCCTAAAGACCTTGGCCTGCACTTAAACACAATCGGCGCTGACAAAATTACCATCTGCCAGCTGCAAAAGGCCACCCTACCGGGCTCTGCACGCATTATTCGCTGATACATCACACAGTCCAAGACACTTGGGAAGTGTCCGACGTGTGATCCAATTCAACAGCCAGTGTCTGCTGTGAACTTATCTTGTTGTGTTTCAAATAATAATAATAATAATTATTATTATTATTATTATTATTATTTATTTATTTATTTACTTACTTTACTTATATACCGCTGTTTTCAGCCCGAAGGTGACTCACAGCGGTATATAAGTAATAATATTACATTGTGTATAAAATGTACACAAAACCATTTAAAATATTGTATGTAAAATGCCCTTCAGGCTATGTGAATAAGGGGACTATGAAACACAAATGACTATTGTGTCTGGACTTGGGTTCCATCTCCAAGAGATCGCTTGATGTATAGCCAAATATTCCAAAACATCCCAAATCCCAAATAATATGAAACATCCATAAAGGTCACATTTGGACTTGAGTCCCGTCTCCAAGATATCTCATGATGGATATACTAGCACAGGCAGTCCCCAGGTTACGAGCAAAATTGGTGCAATAAGTTTCTTGTTAAGTTGAATTTGTTTATAAATTGGAACAGGTACATTTTTAAAGTGCAACTCCAACCAAATATATGTGTAACTGTGTGTGTGTGCATGGGTAAACAATATATATACACATACATACACACACCAAGATAGATAGATAGATAGATAGATAGATAGATAGATAGATAGATAGATAGATAGATAGATAGGTAGGTAGGTAGGTAGGTAGGTAGGTAGGTAGGTAGGTAGATAGGTGGATGGATGGATGGATGGATGGATAGGTAGGTAGGTAGGTAGGTAGGTAGGTAGGTAGGTAGGTAGGTAGGTAGTAGATAGATAGATAGATAGATAGATAGATAGATAGATAGGTAGATAGGTAGATAGGTAGGTAGGTAGGTAGGTAGGTAGGTAGATAGGTGGATGGATGGATGGATGGATGGATGGATGGATGGATGAATAGATAGATAGATAGATAGATAGATAGATAGATAGATAGATGATAGATAGGTAGATAGGTGGATGGATAGATAGATAGATAGATAGGTAGATAGGTAGAGAGGTAGATAGATAGGATGGATGGATGGATGGAATGGATGGATGGATGGATGGATAGATGGGTAGATAGAGGTAGAGATAGAGACAGAGATAAAGGTAGGATGGATGGATGGATAGATAGATAGATAGATAGATAGATAGATAGATAGATAGATAGATAGATAGATAGATGGAAGCTTTGGATAGCAAAGGGAAAGGTTAACACCTCTATGGAGTTTGTGTTGCTGTTCAGAAGATTTGACCTTACTCTCTGTCTATATGAGAATTGGATTCTGAACATTTGTCTAGTTGTGGAAACAAGGATTGGGGAAATCTCTTTTCCCCATGATAACAACTCTTCTGGGGTGAATTTCCTTTCTGAGGTGTTGATTTTTCTCACTTCCTGTTGTCTCAGCCCCACTCTTAATTAGGAGTCACTTGCAAGTCAGATGTTTGTAGCCCAGGGATGACCTGTTTTCCATAACATCCAAAATCCCAAATAACACAAAACATTAATGGCTACTGTGTCTGGACGTGGGTCCCATCTCCAAGAGATTTCATAAGGCATATCGCCTTAAATCCCAAACACACCACACTTCTGGCCCCGTGCCTTTCAGACAGGGATGCTCCTCCGCCTCAGTACTATGAGAGACTACAGAATGGACACTGAGGTGCCCCCCCCCCCTTTGCCAAGCCCATCATTATCACTTGGACCGGTACCTTGGTCCTGCAGGGATCTCAGTCCGGCCTGGGCCTGGTAGTGCAGCTGCTCCAGGTGTGGCGTCCGGGAACTGGGGAAGAAGACGTTGTCCGGCTGCTCCTCTCCAGCCTTGTACTGGACGCTCAGCCGCCGCTCATTCTCCGCTTTGGCCGCAGCCCCTGCAAACACAAGGGACGCTTGAAGTCAATCCTTTTCCATTTCTTTTATCTCCACGAATACAATCAACAGTGAAATGGTTGGAAACAAGACATGTGATTTGCATTAAAATATAGCTCCATTTCAAAGAAATTTAGTGCTTGTGATTCAATTTGTACAATGCAGATTTCATCTCAAATGTAAGCATATTTGTACCATCCTGGGTGTTGCAGTGTTCAAAACAAACACAGTTAGTTGCTGCTTGCTTGGATCTACGGGATGTTCCAAAATGCTTTGGACTAAATGCCCACTCCTGTTTAGATAATGGCAAGGCACCTTTGTAGGAAAATGGAAGCGAAAAAAGGATTTTAAAAATTAAAATGCAGTCATCTATATAAATAAAAATGCAATGTTTGTTTGTGGGAGTAACATAACTCAAAAACCACTGGACAAACTGACACCAAATTTGGACACAATACACCTCTCAGGCCAACGAGTGACCATCACTCATAAAAACTCTGAAAAACACAGCAGAAGAGACTTAACAAGCCAAAAAATAAAAAGTACATTACAACACATGTGCAAAACCACACATATATACACATATACATATACATATATATATACACACACACATATGCACACATATGCACACACAAAGCACATATACACAGGCTGAGCCACAGATACGCATGGCAGGGGATGGCTAGTATCTAAATAAATAAAAATGTAATGTTTGTTTGTGGGATTAACATAACTCACAAACCACTGGACAAATTGCCACCAAATTTGGCCACAAGACATCTACCAACCCAAAGAGTGACCATCACTCAAAAAATTGATTTTGTCATTTGGGAGTTGTAGTTCTTGGGATTTATAGTTCACGTACAATCAAAGAGCATTCTGAACTCCACCAATGATGGAACTGAACCAAACATGGCACACAGGACTCCCATGACCAACATGGGCATTTATGGGCATTGACCTTGATTTTGGGAGTTGTAGTTCACCTGCATATAGAGAGCACTGTGGACTCAAACAATGATAGACAAAACTTGGCAATGATACTGACCAAACATGGCACAAACCAGACCAAACTTGGCACAAATATTCCATATGCCCAAATATGAACAAAGATGCCCAAATATGAACAAAGATGGAGACCTTGACATTTGGGAGTTGTAGTTACTGGGATTTATAGTTCACCTACAATCAAAGAGCATTCTGAACCTCACCAATGATAGAATTGGGGCAAACTTCCCACACAGAACCCCCATGACCAACAGAAAATACTTAAGGCCACCCAGTCCAACTCCCTTCACCAGAGCAAGAAAACGTAATCAAAGCCCTCCTGACAAAGAGCCATCCAGCCATAGATATAGATAGATATATATGATTCACACACAGAGATATAGTATCATAGATTTGAAAGGGACCCCTAAAGAAGGACAATTATATGTTGCATGTTTCAGAGTAGGCAAAGCAGACAATCTCCACATCAACGCTGACAAAGAAACAGCAAGAAATATTGTCTACCGAATTAGAAACCAACACTTTCTAATTACTTCATTTCCCAGATCACCAAACTGGGCCACAGCAAGGCATGACAGGGGACGGCTAGTATTATAGTAAAATCTTGAAACAAACAAAAAGCAATCAGGCCATAATTCAAGGACAAACTATGTCTTTCAAGGAATAATAATAATAATAATAATAATAATAATAATAATAATGCTTTATTTATATACCGCCCTATCTCTCTGAAGGGACTCAGTGTGGTTTCCAACATATAAGGCAAAACATTTAATTGCCAAGAAGAAAATCATACAAACATATTAAAATAAAAGCATCATAAAACACAAAAAACTTCCTAGAACAAAACAATAAAAATTTAAACCAACTGCAATTATAACTCCATCAGGAAAGATTCCATAAAACCAATGGCTAGGACTACAAAATGGACATGGTCAACAAAATGGGAATGGTCAACTAGCCGGGAGAAGGCAATGATGCTAAGGAAAAAGGAAGGAAAAAGGAAGAGGAGCCGAGCAAGGACAAGATGGATGGATGATATCCTTGAAGTGACTGGCTTGGCCTTAAAGGAGCTGAGGGTGGTGACAGCCAACAGGGAGCTCTGGTATGGTCTGGTCCATGGGGTCACGAAGAAATGGAAATGACTGAACGAATAAACAATAACAACTAAAAAGGGGCTGGGAGCTATGAAATCCTGGCAGTTGTAGTTTGGAGAGACATCAAGCGGTCTTTGGCAGAGAAGACCTTGTCAATTGGCCAAGGGTCTCATTCAAATACTAGGATCCATCATGTCAGAAGAAACCTATTGAGATCGGCCGATCCAAAAGGAATCACAAAGGACATGGGAACACATTACGCCCACATTGCAAACATTACTACTAATAGGACCACCTTGACTGGCTTATGGCACAGTCTTTGCAGTTATTATTATTATTATTATTATTATTATTATTATTATTATTATTATTATTATTATTATTATTAGAAACATAACAAGATGAGTCCACAGCAGACAAGATCACTCTGCTGGCTGTTGTATTGGATCACACGTCGGACACTTCCCAAGTGTCTAGGACTGTGTGATGTATCGGTGAATAATGCGTGCAGATCCCAGTAAGGTGGCCTTTTGCAGCTGGCAGATGGTAATCTTGTCAGTGCCGATTGTGTTTAAGTGCAGGCCAAGGTCTTTAGGCACTGCACCCAGTGTGCCGATCACCACTGGGACCACCTTTACTGGTTTGTGCCAGAGTCTTTGCAGTTCAATCTTTAAATCCTCATATCGTGTCAGCTTTTCCAGTTTTTTCTCATTAATCTTGCTTTCTGTTGTTATTATTATTAGAAACACAACAAGATTACTACACAGCAAACAAGATCGCTATGCTGGTTGTTGTATTGGATCACACATCTGACACTTCCCAAGTGTTTTGGACTGTGTGATGTATCAGCGAATAATGCGTGCAGAGCCCGGTAGGGTGGCCTTTTTCAGCTGACAGAGGGTAATTTTGCCAGCACAAAATGTGTTTAAGTGCAGGTCAAGGTCTTTAGGCACTGCACCCAGTGTGCCGATCACCACTGGGACCACGTTTACTGGTTTGTGCCAGAGTCTTTGCAGTCTTTCGATCTTTAAATCCTCATATCTTGTCAGCTTTTCCAGTTGTTGTTATTATTATTATTATTAGAAACACAACAAGATTACTACACAGCAAACAAGATCGCTATGCTGGTTGTTGTATTGGATCACACATCAGACACTTCCCAAGTGTCTTGGACTGTGTGATGTATCAGCGAATAATGCGTGCAGAGCCCGATAGGGTGGCCTTTTTCAGCTGACAGAGGGTAATTTTGTCAGCACAAAATGTGTTTAAGTGCTGGCCAAGGTCTTTAGGCACTGCACCCAGTGTGCCATTGTTGTTGTTGTTGTTGTTGTTGTTGTTGTTGTTGTTGTTGTTGTTATTATTATTATTATTATTATTATTATTATTATTATTATTATTAACATCATCCATGGTTTCATTTATGCATTCCAAGCAACAATGTCCTCTCTAGACATTTTCTAGCTCCTCCAGCACAGCTCTATGTGTTCTTGGGTTCAAAGTCCTTCATTTCAATGGGGTTCAGTAGCATCCATAGTCGCACTCTCTCGGCCTCAGATGAAGGCCAGAGCAAACTGCCTTTGAGTAAACCATGCCAGGAAAACCCGAGAAAAGGGTCACCGTAACTCAGAACCAGCTTGAAGGTGCATAACAACATTTATTATGTGTAATAAATAAATCATGTCCTGACACTGAACTGCCTCCAGAGCCCTGACTGTGGTAGAAGCAGGCGGAAGGCGAGGAGAGGAATGAAATAATGAATCCAGAAAGGGTGGCGTCGCCGTTGCAGGAGAGCAACCAGGTCCCGCAACTGGATCCCTTTCCATCTTGCTGCAGCAAACGCCACTCGACACCATCCCTGCTGCCTCTCTCTGTCCAGCGGGACACTGCCCCTCCCCGGCTGTGCCTTTAAACCAATGGCACTAAACAAGCGAAAGAGCCCCAGGGCGGCATCACATGACTGATACCAGAAATATCTGTGCACCTTGCACACTGGCAGGTCCAGAGCCAGGCAGGCAGGCAGGCAGGCAGCCTTAAAGGGCCAGCGCCAGGCACATGATGCGCCACGCACAATCAATGCCAGAATGGATGGCGGGGATGGGGGGGGGGGGGG